AGCAGGAATCCTCAAAGAGGGAACACAATCATAAACAAACAGGCTCTAAGGTCCCTGCCCTCCCGAGCTGACAGTGGGTCTCTGGCTGGCTCCCTCATACCTGGAAGGATGTGAAAAGGGTCAGAAGCTGCAGAATTTCGGAGTTACCCATGTCAGGCTAAAATTAAACTGTGAACACGTTTAGCTTTTCCGTTATAGCTGGGCTGTGTCTGAATGTTCATATTAAAATTTAATCATTTAAAGACACACTTACAATTACGTTAGCAGTTTGCACAGCAGCTAGCTTAAACTAAGACTCAGTAAAGACTGACAGAAATGAGACTGCTAGCTATTTCAAACTGATACTAACAGTTGTCTTAAAACATCAAATACTGGATTTGCAATAATGATAAATCAATTGAACGAAGCCTGTTAGCATTAATCAGTAGTGTTATAACAGTAAGGTAAAAAGCATCTTACCTGAAATAACAAATCAGAGGTTTGGCATTACAGGACTGGAAGGGTGGGACTCCACGGGGCTTTCAACCACAAAGCCAGAGCATTCCTGGATCAGTCCTTTCTGAGGAATATCCAAAACAAGGCCACAGCCTGCACTTCTCACTAGGCTGCAGATAACTGCCCAAGCGTCCCTTCTGAAAAGCGCTGCTGTAGTCCAGGATGCAGTCCTGAGCTATTAGGCTAATAAAAGCAGTATATGAAAGATTCATAAATAATGCATTTAAAAGCAAATTGAAGTTTGCATACAGTTAAAATGCTCATGCTGGGAAGTAACTTTACACTTGTGATTTTCTATTCTGCATTTCTAGGGAAAAAAAGGCTTATACATTATCTCCTGCAGTGCTTGCCTATCCGTCAGTGAGCTGCACCTCTATATTAATACATTGTGAACTTAACTGGTTCTAATCAAGTTTGGATAAAAATCCCATATATACTGAGTTTCTTTACATTTCCTGAAAACAGGTAGTCAGGAATAGGAGCGAGGGCTGAGCAGTGCTCCAGCTAAGGGAAAATGTACAGTGTGAACTCTGTTTGAGCTCAAGGACAATCTCCAAATGCAAATCCGTATGAGAGCAGGCTTTACTGCTTTCACTGCGCACAGAACTATTTGTTTAAGGAAAAAAAAAACCTAGAGTAAAACAAATCTTTGCTTACAGAAGCTGCAGTAGTAATTGTGGTTGCTCACACATTTTCCTGTCACTGTGTATTGTGTTTTACCTATAATATTTTATCCTTATAGGGTTGCTGTCAGCAATCCTGTCTACCCTGAAAATTTAAAGATACAATGACAGAGTCTCCATAAACTTACTGATCATAAAAATCCTGTAAAATGCTAACACAAAGGCAAGATAAATACAGAGTGGAGATCATCAGATAGCAGAGCTTCTCCGTCACTCTCTTCTGTGACCCACCCTGGCAAGTTCAGCTCTCCTGATCCGTGTGAGGTGCAAGGGAGGAGCAGCTGCTCCCTGGTGAGAGCAAAGCTCATCCCTGAGAAAATCCTTGCAACAGGTAACCTTATGAAACTTTGTCTGGGCTTCACATGGTATATATACATGTAGTACAACTGTAGCGTGTGCAGCTCATGTAGTACAATCCACCCAAGCAACAACTACCGTAAGTCTTAAGGGGGAAAAGAGAGAGGTTGGATCCTCAGTTGGATCTTAGCTTGGCTTGCCTGCTCACCCTGAAATGGCAATTCCTTGAATGAACTGAGCATGCCAGCACTGGTATAGGAGTACGGATAGCATGGCTTGGCTTCATTTGCATGGCAAGGTAGCAGAAACAGCTTGCTGAACCTTAAGGTCTTATGAGCCCTCTGTTCCCCTTCCCACAGGCTCCTTGAAGACAGTATTTGGTTAAATTATTATTTATTGTCGCATTAAAAAGATATTATTTGATTTACAAACATATATAATGTTATTACATTTTTACAAAGCTTTTGAACAAAAAAACTATTTTACATAAATATGACTTTCAGCCCTCTCACCACCTGTTATTTATTAATATTTACTTTTCATATTTTTTTTGTACTATTTCCCAGGTCTTCATGATTCCTTATACTAACATACAGTAGCTGCAGCAGCAGCTTCCTCAGAGGAATTGTTTAGTCAACGTTTTCTTCATTGGAGCTACTGGACATGTTACAGCACTGCTGTCCTACCATGGTTCCTCTTCTTCCAATTTCTTGTCCTCCTGAATTTTCAGCTTTAGAAAATAACTCTCAGCATGAAGCAATCCATTAATGAAGATTCACTAAACTATTCCTGCACGCGTTAGAGGTGAACTCCTTTGTTTTGATGACACCGCATTGTCCTTTGGGAACATTTCCTGATGTGTACTGCACTTTCACTTCTGTGGTTTGGTTTTTGTTGTTGTTGTTTGGTTTGGGATTTTTTTTTTAATGAGATATGTAGTAGTAGTAGTAGTAGTAGTAGTAGTAGTAGTAGTAGTAGTAATAATAATAATAATAATAAAGTCCATAGTGACTGAGGAATCTACTTAATACTCAAACAAAAATCAGGTTTTCTGGAACAGGTGGGTAGTTATTCAAATTTTAGAAGAAAGAAAGAATGATCAAACTTAACAAAATGCCAAAAGTAAGCACCATTTTAAAGAATGTGTGATCTTCTTGGCAAGTAGGTCTTGTTTTAAGATAATGGTCCACAGAATCAGCAAGTGAGAATTTCTTGGGCTTGTAACCAAGTTGATTTCGTGCCTTGTCTATTCGGAAAGTGTGAGTTACAGTAACATTCCACACCTAAAATCCAAAAGGACAGTTATGGAAGTGACTTTATCTGATTTTCTAGAGCTTGGATGAAAATATTTCAACAATTATATTACAATGGAATTAAAAACACGAATAAAGATAGACATGCAAAAATGTACACGTTTTGGAGTCAGCTTCTATCCAGAGCTACCGGAATTGAGTTGATGTAGCCAAAGCTTGGTGGACTGGGTGCAGCAGGAGTTTATGACACTGATTTCTCACTTGTGACTGTGCCACACAGAGCAAAGCAAATCCCAGTGGAACAGATCAGCACACTGCCCTCAAGCTGGCTCTTCTGCACAGAGAAAAGCCCAATGGAACTGAATGAGAGTATTGGAGGAGAGGGGGGTGGCTTCTCAACTTCGCCGAAATGCATATCTAAGGAGTGGCAACCATGCACTTTTGGAGAGTAATATCCTCCACCTCTGAACACATGGTACCTGTGAAAGTGCTTAAGTTGCTTAGTCGCAATGATTTCTGCTTCAGATGTAGAACAAATGTAGATGTATAAAAATAGATACACAGATAAGTTGTAGAATAACTGAAAAGCTACAGCAGAAGTTAATGAAGTCCATCCAGTCCCTTCAGTGTCCTATTATGTTACATGTTACAGTAAGAGACTAGACGATGGATTAGCTAAAGCATTTTGGCTTATAAAACATAATATTGTTCAAAAATGTAAGTCAGAACAAAATGAATATAAATGAGTGCCCAGAAGTTTTTTGTTTTGTTTCGTTTTTCCCCAGAAAATTGACTTTTCATTCCAATTTAGAGTTATTTTTATTGGACTTTCTAATTATTGGCTAGCCTGGTATTATGATAACTGCTACCACTTTGACCTGAGACTCTTATGCTGTACTCTTGCAGCACCTTCCTTTATCAAGTAGTTCCACAGCACAGGACTGCTTACTGGAAATGACAATACAGTGCTTGTTTTCCTCTTGATGTTAGCTCCATGTCAGTTGCTCTGTCTTGCAGCTCTAGGATGTTTCTCTGTATCATCGAGTCTTCAAGTAAGGATTAATTTCTGATGATTTTATAAGGCGTGGCCAGGACGGCATGAAAAAATCAGGCTACAAAATGATGGTGTAAGCCTTGAAAGAACTATGCCCTGACCAAAAAAACAGCTCTAATGCAGACAATCCTGTCTGCATCCAAAGGGTGTATCATGTATTTCACAAGAATTTTGGTTAGAAACATAGAAACATTCTTTCTTTTTATATATTTACCTCATTCCTTGTCAAGAAAGGTGTAAAGCTAAAAACTGGCTTTAGTATCAGGTGCAGATATTCCATCACAGTGGCTGTGAAACAGAAATTTACTTAATGAGACAGCTGGATAACAATAAACTGACATTGCACATCCTGTAACTATTACTGATATCAGAGAATGCAATTAAGGCAGTAGAAGGCAGTGTTTATATAAAGTACATGATGGGCTCAGTTTATGAACAGCCTTTAAACTTTACTGGTATAATTAATGCCAAACAGCATAAGCAATTATTGTTAATTAGAATAATGTTAAGTTATATAATTCCTACAATTTGGTCCCTGGATTTTACAAAAACAATATGTAGCTTTATAGGAATAATAAAACAAATTAAAAAATAAATAGCACAATAATTAAGTATGTATTTTATTATTTTTACCTGCTATATGAACCAGGAGAACAGGAATACATATCCAGGGTTTCCTGTAGCCTAATTTTTCAAACTAGAAGGTGTATAAAAGGAAACAATAACAGAGAATTTGTACCAAATTGAGAGTGTCAATGAAGCATGAAAAAGGAAAAATTCATGTTGATAAAACACGTATCTGATGTACCAGTACTGGTAGAAAGAAACGCAACTGAACCCACTACTCATTCTTCAGTTACCACCTCCCACCCTTCAACTGCAATTGCATAGTAAAGGAGAAGCAATGCTATTTCCAAGGGGCAAGTGACTGATTCTGGAATACTTCACTACATTTAGATACAGCCCCATCATTCTACTGCAAAAGTTTTCCAGGAAGACTCTTCTGTGTTGGCATTGCAGGATCAAAACTTTAGCATGCTTCTAAAATCCCAGCCTGATGCTTATGCAAATGTATCGTTGCCACTCTTTAGCTTTTAATATATGATTCTAAATGGCCTTCCCTTCTGTGCTGCAGTTGATAGTAGAACAGAGAAATAAAGAATGGTTATAAAAGGCCTGGCAGATACTAATAGTAGAACTTTCTGTGCTCTGTGAGCTTGCTTTATGGAAATGCTACTGTTCTGCAGCACGCTCTATACCTCTCGGCTAAATTATCTCAAAACAGTAAGAGCCAAACTCCACAGGTATGCACATCCAAAACTACCCTTAAAGCCAGTAGAACATCGGGATATGCAGGGAGAACAGGACTGACTTTAATGTTAAGTAATTCACGTGCACTGAACTTAAATTAGTATGGTCTTTTAATTAACAATATGATTAGGGCCCATACTATGCCTTAGAGCTAAACGTGTGTGCAATACATACTAAAGGGACTATCCATTCAGAAAATATGACGTTTTCACCATCATGTATATAATACGCCTGACCACTCTGTTAAAGAAGCAGAGAAAAACAATTAGAAAAACAATATACATAGGATGGCATTTTCTTTCTCTGTCATACCTATGTTTCTTGATTTTGTGAATAAGCATGCATACGGTGAATGTACATAAATCAGCCCAGCAAACTACCTTCATTTGGCTTCACTGTGATCTCAAACATGTCTTATACTTTTGGGTAATCCCACGGTGGTAGCAGAGCTAATCATGATTAACCATAGTGTAATGCAGATCAGAGCTTCATTTCACTATGTAATAACTCAACAGAGCATTAAGTTCTTACTGATGTGTAGGGGTCAGAATTATCTTCGTAAGTCCAACAGAAGTGGCAACACTGACAGCATTTAATGAACACAGCTTTTTGAGGTCAAATTCCAACTCTGGCTAGTTTTCCAATTAAAACAAATTCAAGACACATGTTCTGTAAGACATGTCAGTATCCGGATCCACTTTTGGCTTCCATTCTATTGTCTTCAGCCTATAAATGAAGCTGGAGCCTTTGGGAGCTGTGAATGTAGCAGCTGCTGCACACACTATCAGTTTTCTAATGCTTCATGGTTCTCAGATTGTTGTTGCAATTGTGACCAGTAGAAGAAAAAGAAAAACCTTTTGAAATTGTTCATTAATTTTGTACATATCTTTTTGGAATTTTCAACCCTGAAAATGAAACTGCAGTGCCTCAGAATGGTTGCTCTACATTTTGTGCATCTAGAATCAAAATCTATTTTCAAAAGAATAACAAAATATATAGATTTGTATGATGGTGGAAGTATTAACCTAGTTAAAAACACTGTTTCCCCCAGTCAAACAGGGAACTATATATTTTCCAAAACAGAAAAACACAGCACCAAAACATTATCACACTATATTTGCATTTGCACTGTCCATGTGTTTGTGGAACTATACACCGTTTTTGAGAATTTAGGTTCTCCAAAAGGCCACATGCTTTGATCTCAAAGCATCAAAAATGAAACCTATTTGAGAGTTAAAGCTACCAGGACACAATGTCTATATTGTTTACTTACAGCTACATAACCTTTCTCAGAGGTGAGAGCCTCAGCAGCTAGTAAGTGAGCTTGGACTAGATTTCCTATGTGAACCCAGTTCATTTGAACTTTGTGATTCCCAAACTTGAAGTTAAAGAATCTCCGCTCGATATTTACCTGTAGAAACAGAAAACATGAACTAACCACATTATTCCTTTATTATGCAGTAAGATGTATTCATTTTGGCTCAGTCTGAGTACTGAGAATTTGCTGTATTTGTGTGTACAATTACAGCACAAGAAATGTGTCACAAGCAAAAAACTAGCTGGTGGTTTGATAAATCAAGGACTGCTGCACTGATACGCAGTGGTAAAATACGGTGATGTTACAGTGTTTGGCTGAAATTAAAGTGCATATTTAAAATACAGTAATTCCATTAAACAATCAGGGATGCAAACCTAGTTCTTCTACCACAGCAATTCAGCCTTACATTTTTTCCTTTTCACTTAAAAGTACAGCTTGATCCTTGCCATTTCTGCAGTGTTCATATCATGGTATTTGTTATCTTGCACCATATGACCTGTTACCAAGCTTTCCTGGAGGAATTGTTAAGAATTGTAATCAAAATACTTCCACTTATGTTATGCTCTTACAACTACTTGTAGTGTCCTCCAGAGCTGACTACATAACACATACGGCTACTCGTGGCAGGTGGTGCTGCTCTTCTGGTCCATATATGCCTGGTGGACGAAGCACACAAGTATGGAGCTTATCCCCTCCTTGGAGAGAGAACAAAATATGATTTTCAAAGAGCTGTTATATCAACATATGGCTGACATAGACTGTCTGAATTTTACACTCTAAAAGTAAAGGATCAGTCTGACCATTCTATGTGATACAGCCTCCTAGTAACTTCTTTTAATTAGCACCCTGAAAACTGAATTCCTCTGACTGCAGAAGAGTTTGAACAGGGACAGGGTGAATGAAACTTTCCTATACATATGTCTCCTGCTCCACTGATTTTTGCTGTTAATTATAGATATAAGACTCACATATTTGTCCATCATTGTAGACACATACAATATATTCAGAGCTACAAAATCAGTAGGAATAGCAAAATATGCACGTAAAAGCAAAGAAAAGTATTTCTCTTGCCACGTACAGATAGATTTTCAGCCACAGCTATTCATGCACATGTGAGTTTAGAAGTCAAAGTGACCCTGATATTGCAAGTCTGTTTAATAAACTGGAATTATTCTTGCAAAACACTTGCAAGTCTATGGGGATTATAAGAATGACCCATTGGACAGTGCTTAGAGACTGGTATAATCAGAGAAGCTCAAAGTGATAGACTGAATGGGGAATAAGAGCCAAAATTCTCAATCTATTGTAAAATTAGTAAAAATTTTAAGATTATTGGAAGAAGTAAGGTTAAATTTTCTGAATTCTCCCATCTATTGCTTGCATATAATCTCATATCTGGGTATACACAGAAAAAAATTAATCATCTACTCGAAGGGAGGAGTAGAAACAAACAACAAAATTCCTTATTTCAGTTAATTTGAAGTATACTATTTATTGACAAATGAGTAACCAGAGAATGGAATACTCATTAACACTACTAATGATAAGAAAACTCCAACTTTTTCATATGTACCTTTGAGTAAAGTTCCATTAGCAGCAAGAACCATTTGGTCTGCAATTGTCTTTGTTCTAGAATAATGATTAAATTGCTATAAAGAAAGGCAGAATATGATAAACGTTTTAGTCACATTATTGCATCTGTAAAGGCAAACTTACTGTTTATGTCTGATAACACTTAAATCTAGCCAGCTTGTAGACATCAGCTGAGTAAAACCAAACTAGAAATAACAAGATATAGCAAATATATATTTTGTTTATGACAAAGAAACTTATCAGACTTACATTTTAGTTGCACATGTTTAGCTTCAGAGTGAATTTAAGTCCATTATTATTTACTTAACTTACTTTTTGTGCAGGATGTACTGAAAAAACCGGTATCAAGTCAAGTGTGTTGTGCTGGTCAGATAATTTTATTTTGAAAAAAACCCATCAATTTTGAATTGGGAAAAGTTTTTTAAAACAGTAAATTCAATATTAAACTAAAAATCAGACTTTCCTGAAAATGTTTCAGTTTCTTACTGAAACTATCTGGGAAGTTATAAATAATCCTTTCCCAACTCTATCTTTTACTATTAACTTTAAAAATTGCAGCCAAGTACAAACAATAGGATTCTGGACACAGTTCGCACATGATGGTTTAGTGATTACTTATCCACACAAGGTTATTTAGATATCTGCTGAATTTTGTATTGCCATGCTTTATACTGAACTATACACCTAAAAATCACACCACCAAAAATTTTTCCACGCTCAGGTGGCTTAATCCACCTGCTCCACCTCCCTCCATGCCCCACCTACCTCTGCTGCTTGCTATTACGCGATCACTATTAGAGAAAACGTATGATTAGGGCTTGACACATGCAACTAAATGCAAATTCCTGAAATGCCCTCTCAGAAGTCTGAGGTGCTGTGCAGGCTGTGCACAAACTGACAGATCCAACTAAGCATCTCAGGAGGCACGAACAAGAGAATGAGCCTGTCCTAGTTAGGATTCCTGGACACAGGTTGTACAGTCTAAAATTACAGCTTTTAACTGCAGGCAGTGTGCTGGCAGCAGGAAAGAACAAATGGGAAGAGTGGCCAGAATGCATTGAGCTTCTGATTTCAGCTTGAAAATATTTCCTGAATTATCATAGCAAAGAAAGAGACGGTATTTCAGAGCAGCCCTGAGGTGACTGTAACTACTACCTGGCCTGCAGCAAGAAAGCAAGATTAGAGAACTTCGAAGAAGGAAAAATAGGTATGAATAAAGATGTAGAATTTTGTATTTAACAATATTCTTCAATACAAAGGCTCTCAGGGGCCATAATATTCAGTATTTACATAGTGGATGGACCTCAAAAGCCCTTCCTCTTAAAATATTCTTGTTAAATGTCACATTCTACTTTTCTTAGTAATTTCTAGACATTTTATAATCTCAACTCTGTCTAGTTATGGCAGATTAAAGCCACTGTGATTTGAGTACTTCTTCATTGATCATGGGTCTATTTTTAGTAATCAAAAATAATTTCATAGAATTTGATGTGATCTATAGTGAAATAGCTTCTGCTCACAGAACAGCCTTCACATAACCTGTCCTTTAGAGCACAGTAAATGCCATGCCATCACATGAATAAAGTACCTTTTCCAGTGGAAAATATGGCACTGTTTCTTCATCTCCTTCTTCGATAGGATTCCCTCCAAATACCACATTCACTGTACTGGTATATATCAGTCTAGGGATATTTCTTTGTTTGCAGACTACAATGGTATCCAAAACAAATGATTTAAAACAAAAATAAAGAGAAACAACATCTGAACAGGCAGCTTCACTTTTTGAAAACAAACATTTATAGAAAAAGTAACATTTTAATTTTAATATTAACTTATCATTTATCATACTATTATCTTTCTTTCAGCTGGAATTTTTCATTCCAACTATATGTTATGTAAATATTCTGTACTGTGGTGCCAAACACTTTATGGTTAGGTACCTGCAACTATCACATCACCACTGGATTGTAGTCACCAGTTGGACAGAGGAATTATCTAAATCATAAGTGACAACTGACATGGTAGCAGGAAACATATGCTGCTAGTGTATAATCAAGAGTACCTTAAATACAAATTAAACAAACAATGTCTTAATTATGGATTCCAGTCAGATGCTTAGATATGATGTTTAAATTCTGCTGCACATATTTCACTGCAAACTTGAATAACATAAAGTTCCTTTTGATTTAACAATACTTCTAACATTTAAGTGAATTAATATTCAAAGTCAGGAATTTTTAAATTATACAGAGCAGTCAGACCGGTTGGTTCATTGGCTCATTCTAAAAATAATGAATGTAATTACTGTGTTGTGAGTATTTAGAACAACATACAATAATAAAATCTATTATTAAAATGTAGATTAAGAGGTTCATGGTCCTCCCAGATTCTTGCTTTTTTGGGAGCCTATGGAAATCTGACATGACATATTCCTGTGGGTTCAGAGGCTGAGGAAAGAAGGGAATATGTAGTAACATCTTCCCTCTAACTCATTTAGGGTTTTACTTGCCTACCATTTCACTCTAATTAGTCTTGCTTTTTTCAGTAATAACGACAGGCATCATGAAAATGGGTCTAAATTAAAACTGCTTCTGCCATTTTGTTTTTTGACTTTTTTTCCCATTTGGTTTGAGGGAAAAGCAAAGAGAAAGTATCTTTGGTATTTACAATACACTTTGAAATGTTCTTTCTGGAATTGAATATACAGAAAGAAATCTACTAATGTTTTCCAGAGACAGTAGTTAAAAATTAGTATATAATAAAAAGGGATCACATTTAAAGAGATGGACAGATAGAAGATTTTCTATATTAACATGATAAAATAATAGCTAAATATACTTAACACATCTATGGCTCCCATCACCAAATGTTTACAACATAACAAGCAGTACAATATCTATGTTATTTCTGTGAAGAAAGAGGATAACACTGAAAGGGTTATCAGGCATTAGAACAGGCTGCCCAGAAAAGTGGCTGAGGCACCATCCCTGGAGGTATTTAAAAGACGGGTAGATGAGGTTTAGTAGTGGACAGGTTATGGTTGGACTGGATGACCTTGGACTTTTCCAACCAAATGATTCTATAATTCTCCATTACATAGAGTAAAGGGAAAAAATAGCCAGTACACGGAGGAGAGTTTAAGTTGGTCTGCCAACGGATGAAGTCCAGGTTGAAAACCTATGCCCAGTTCAAACCAGAGGCATATTTGTAAAGGGTGAGTGTCAGGAGGAAGGAGCCAGGCTCTTCTCAGTGACAGCCAATGCCAGGACAAGGGGCAATGGGTGCAAGCTGGAGCATAGGAGGTTCAATCTGAATGAGGAAAAACTTTTTTACTGTAAGGGTTAGAGAGCACTGGCCCAGGCTGCCAGAGAGGTTGTGGAGTCTCCATCTCTGGAGACATTCAAAACCCGCCTGGACGCGTTCCTCTGCAACCTGGTCTGGGTGATCCTGCTCTGGCAGGGGGGTTGGACTGGATGATCTTTCAAGGTCCCTTCCAACTCCTAATATTCTGTGATACCTACTAGTTTTAATGGGACCTACACACCTAGCTTTACATCATACTCTGAAAGGAGGAAGAGAAGAGCCTCATTTTACTGCCAAATTACAAGTTTTTAAAATTAATGGCTCAGATCAGACAAGGAAAGAAAATCTAGGTACATACCATCAATTATTATTTTTGTGCCTCCAACATTTATGGATTCAATCTGGTCTTTCTTTTGAAGCTAGAAACAGAGTTTGCACAACATCTAATTAATTGAGTAAGTCACTTTCACAATACAATTGTTACAATTGCCAGATCTAGAACAGCTGTGGCCTTTTTCTGGTGTAGGTGTTACAGTTCTCTACCCTTCTGGCATGCAGTGATTCCTAGCAGTTCTTATTTTTATTCTCTTGTTCAGTGGATGAATAAAGCTGAAAAATAAAAGATAAAATGCATCTGAAAGGAAATTATAATGCTTTAATTTTTTGTCACAGCCCAGATAACCCATGATGTACGAACAGGAATTACAGACAGGGGTTATGCTCCCTGAAATTTTTCACAAATTCTTGTTCCAGTGGCAATCTAGCCTGTTCCTAGAAATAAATCAGTATTTTCATGAGTTTTTTGATAGCATCCTTTGTGAATATCATTGTTGTTTAGCATAACCATACCAAGTTGCTGGCCTGTTTCGTTATGACTACAAGTTCATAAGAAGATACATCAACATTAGTTCTAGAACAATATTGTCACACTACTTCAGATTAGAGGAAAAAAAAAAGGTATTTCTTCTTAGCCAAGATCTTAAATCTATGATCTCATTTGATCTAGAGTATTCTGTGTAGTACATTAGTTTTGACATTAATTAATTAAGGAATACCTCCCTTGTTGCCTGTATAGGTGACTTGACCTCTATATGACTTCTGTCTGACATATATACCACATAATTACATTCTTTCTACATGCAGACTAACTTTTGCTTTCACAACAAAGAAGGAAAATGTTAGGAAAACTGTACTTGCTTGTTCTAATCCTGACATTCCACATGCTGCCACATGAAAAACACAGTCAACTCCTTCACATGCTTTGAACACTGCATCACAATCCCTCACATCACCCTGTAAAATGAGAGAAGAATGGATTTTGGACTTTAGAGCTCATTACATTCTCTACAGAATTAGTATTAAATAACTGTGGCTATTAATTAAAATCTAAAGTAATTCAGATCTACTTTTCATAATATTTAACTCACATTAAATAAAACATTTTAAGTGTAGTGAAAACTCCATGACTGAGAATTTTGTCAGTATTTTGTTGCAAAACAAATATGACTTGTTGGCTTCAATTATAATGCATATTTTCACAGTTAGTCCTGCAGCCTCCAGGCTGGCAAAACTTGTTTGACTTGAATGGGATCAGCATATGCTTGAGGGCTGGTGAATCAAGCCCCATGGACAGTAAATCACAGCAGGAAGGGTTTAGCTGTTTACCAAGGCATCACCAAACAAGAGAACTACTTTTCTGTTAGTACCTTAAGATCTGGCTTGTGCAATCTGGACGAATGTCTCTTTGTCCATTTAAGATTTATTTTAGGTGAATTGAATGATAAATTTAATTACAGTTTCATAGAAGATTAAAACAAAAGAGTACATGCTATATGCATTTAATATTGTATTAGCATATATTAGTATATTATAGTCACATTATATTAAACACTGAACACTGTACTGTACTAAATACACACACACTCTACTGAGTATAAAATGCTGTGCTTAGAATATTATATAGCATTTTTGCATACCAGGTAATACTTTATGGATAATACTCCACATACATGTCAAGAAAAACATAATACCTTTATTTTCAGAACTCTGACATTTCAAAATATTAGATATTATTTAACTTACTGTAATGAAATTAATAGAATAATCACACACACAAAAAAGGCTAGTGGTAACATTAAGAGGTAATCTAAATCAGTCTTTAACCTCAAGTTTTTTCTTCTGAGGTTGCCAAAGTATGTCACAATTGTGGGTGATTTACACTTCCTACCTTCAATCAAATGCTAAAATAGCTAACCAGTATAAACAATATTAGCAATCTCCAAGTCACTGATCAAGGCTCAGATCTCTGAAATTACTTACTACTTCACTTAGTAGGACTCCACAGTTCAATTTTCTAGGTAATATTTTATAATATTTATTCTTTTATAATTGAATTATAAAAAAACCTGTTCTCAGAAGTTTGTTTGTCAGATCTCTTGAGTCTCCTTTAAAAGATGTAAATTAATCCACCAGTTTAAATCAAATTATATGGATTTATACCATTAACAAATCAAGATCATGGTTTTTGAATGGCTCATCAATAATACTTTCTCTTTTCCATATTCTGTAAAAGCTATTTATGAAATTGAACATAAGAACAATCATCCTGGGTTAGACTAAAGGTTGCTTATCTCAGTATTCTCAGTACCATGCAACTCCTTGCATTTTCCTTACCACTTGTCTCACATGGTGATATAGCTAGAAAGAGAAAATCTGGCATCACCTCAATAGTCCCTGGGACAAAGGTCCTGTCATCGCTTTCAGCTTTGCCATCAACTTTCTAGTTCTAGTGGTGGTGTCAAAGAGTTCTGACATTAAATGCTCAGACAAGATCAGCCGAATGATACCATGTCTAGCTAGAACTTGTGCAAGATGACAGGAGCGTGCAGACAGTGCTAGTGTCCCCCATGCACCCAGACCCCCAAACCTGAGAGGGTGAAGCAGCTGTGAAGAGTTGGTGCTCCCACATCAGGGAGTAGGGGGACTGTGAACTATTAAGTATTTGAGATCTCTTTGGTTCCCCCTCTTTTGCAGACATAATAAATTCCTTGAGTTATTAAGAATCAAAAGGAATCAGTGCTCATAAATCGGTGCCCTGGGAAGAGCAGGAACAGGGCAAGCTTCATAAGTGACACTTTCACCCAGAATACTCTTCCAGTCTCCAAGTATTTTCATTCAGAAGATTTCTTGGGCCTAATTTAGTTACTTATTTAGTAATCTCCAGTGGAAGTAAATTTTTGGTGAGGCTTTGTACATGCGTTTTACCTACTGCATGAAAAAACAACTTCTTTCATTTGTATTGACTCCTCCTCACTTCACCTGATGCCCTTTCCTTCTTATACTTGAAAGGACAGTGAACAGTCAATCCCTATCTGTTTCAGTGCTAGTCTGTAGAGCTCTCCTGCTCCCAAGTCATATCTTTTCCAGACTGGAAAGTCCTAGTTTTATCAATCATTCTCAGCAGTCATTTTACATCTGTGAACACCTTTGTGAGCACCTTGCCTTGCTCTCACCTTTTTACTCCAAATAATTTCCCTGAGCAGTAAATTCTGTCACTTCATTGTTCACTCCTTCACCTAGGTGAGCTGCAAATGTGTTGAATGGCACTCCCGACACAGGACTCTCCAGAACTGACCACTTGGACTCCTGTTTGCTCTCTCTTAATCAGTTAGTATGCACATGAGGACATTTTATCATGACTTCTTACTACCCTTAAAGGGCTTTTCAGTAAATGCTTTTATAAAAAATCCTAAGAGGAAACCTTTCTAATACATATAAAAGTAGTACAACTTTATTTCATTGCTGTTAAATACATAATTTCAACATACCTTGAAGAAATCTGCTCCACTTGGGATTTCCCATTTCGGTTTCCGTACATCAAACAGAACAACAGCAATTCCTGACCTAACAAGAGCACATCCCAGGTTGTATCCCAGGTAGCCTCCCCCTCCTGTCACCATTGTCTTTCTGCTTCTGTTAACTAGGAGACCAGCATGCTCATTTAGTTTGCTCTCACACGGCTGGCTGCTCTGGAGCTCTTCTGTAGATCCTTCTTGCATCATGACTGCAAGATAGAAGATCTCTTGAAAATTCCTGCATAATACTACAAGATCTGAGTAATTTCAGTAGATTTCATGTTACAGTGCTCCTTTCATGTTCTTTTATGTATTTTTATTACTTTAACATGTTTAAAATGCATAAATTAATAGTTTCCATGATGGTATTTCTATGTACAATGAGTAATGAGTCTGAATACCTTTATATTCCAAGATTTAGAGTTTTCCTCATACCTGCAAGTTTCATGTCATATAGAAATGAAGAGAAATTACAGGATTTCTGAGACATTATAATTACCTAACTTTAACAGGTATGATTACATTTCTGAATGCTCAAAACCTCACTGAATTCTGATGTATTAACACCAAATAGGTGTCAGCCTAGTAGTCAGGGAAAAAATAGATAAAGAATCTAAGAAAGGTTAGATTCTGCTTCTGAAATCCACATTTGGCTGACAGTTCTTCAGTAATGGTAAAAATTTGTTACCATTTTGAACTTTTCTGTTTACATACTAAATAAATTTAGTTTCCTGTCCAGTTCTTACTAACTTTTATCCATACTGTTCTCATTAGGGCATTCACATACAGCTAACTGACAAGGAACTGAAGGGATAAGCCATCTGCCCTGCAGGTTCATCTACTTGGGAAAACTGATTAGAGTATCATTCTGTGACAGCAGTTCCACAGGAGCTACCCATCTGTACACTTTGTTCTGTATTAAAAATGAGTTTGTTCTACAATAATAACTTCTCTCTAGAAATTCACTCATATTCCCTGCAATTAAAATGACTGGTATTCCAGATCACAATATACTCTGAAAAAATAGTCTGATTAATTTTCCCACATACACAGCCCATGTTGTCCCTATTCCTTGCATGGTATTTGCATATGAGGATCTAGGTTCTTATGTTCCCAGACAGAAATCCAGAACAAATACATCTGAATTAAGTCCCCATAATGTGGGAGCCAAACTGGGTGCATGCTAGTCTAACAGAGGAATATAGACCCAATTTCTGAAGATTATTATGGTTTTCTCATAGTTGGAGTGGGTCTTCATAGCAACATCTCCACACATGAGAGTGCATCATCTTCCACCAACTGAGCACAGACAGCTCAGCATAGTTTGCTCTCAGTCATTTACACCAGGTTTCAGCAGAGATTGTGCAGAAACTGGGCATGATTGGTAACTGGCAAATGCATCACTTCCAGAATGACAAAAAATACTAGAAAAGCAACAGAAAATAGAGCCCACAGTACAAAAACTTGTGAACTGCTTTTTCTGTTGCCTAGTTAAAATATCACAAACAAAATTTTAAAATTTATTTTATGCGTTGTTTTTTAGATTTCAGAAACAGGAAAGTGAGTACCAGGTTCTCCATGCTGTTACACTGTTTCAACACCAATGTCAGCTCACTAAATTCAATGAACTGAGTGGCATAACACAGCAAAAAAATACGAGCTCCTTATACTGAAAAATATCCTGACATTTCAAAATGAAAAATAATCCACATTTCCAACTAAAACTTAAATTAGAACTAATATAGTAAAAGTAAAACAAGTACACTTCTGTTTAGTCAAGGAAATCTAAATTTGTATCTCTAGATTATGCTACACAGTAGTTTGAAGCCATATAAAATTCTTTTGCTTTGTCTTCTGTGAAAAAGCACCTTTTTATACACTATAAGGAGAACTAAGGTCAAGCTTGTCACATACACCACAAAAAGACACATTTGAAAAATGGCATACATTTGAATACTTGTCATTAATATCTTCTTCTATTCTGAGTAAGCTGGAGGTTGTATCAAAAAGTTTGAAGATTTTGCTAGAAATCTCTTTCTTAAAAAGCAGCAATAGCATTAATATATGAATCTACTTAATGGAATTAGAAAACTATTATAAAATTTTGAATGTAAACAGATTCCTGTAAGAAAATACGTATTTCCAGAACCAGTAACTTCCTTGTTTCTCTAACTTCATAGGAGCTATCCTGATTTATTAATGTATTCTGCAAGATGAGCACACTTACATGTTACAGAGTACATGCTATGTGAGTTGCTCTTAGCTCTCCTACTGTCATTTCAAATATTAGAAAAGCAGAATTATTCCCCATAAAAAGTTGAGTTAAACATTTCAGATTTTTAAAAATAGCTAAAAAAGTATTAAGTACCCCTAGTAGAATCCTGGAGTTGGCTTTCTCCCAGTCCTTCCTGTCCAAGTAAGATGATGAGACTTCTCTTTGCTGGACAATTGGTAACACAAGGGCATCAGGTACTGTCAGGCAGAGATGTTCATGTGTACCAAGGTCCTTTTGCTGCTCCTGCTCCTTTGTAGCTGGTGGCTGGGCTAGGAGCCAAAAAAGGGCTGGGCTTAATTTGTACATAACTTGCGTTCCTTTTCAGGAAAAAAATGAAGTATTTTCTCCACATCAGACCTAAATAGGATTGTATCCCTTACTGTTACCTGATAAAAGTATTGATAAGACACTAGACAATACAAAAATACTATTGATACCATCATTCTGTAGATAAATTGCATTTGATTACTAAAACATCTCTGTTTTTAAGAAGTACAGAGGAGAGGGTTCTCAACAGGAAAAGAAAATCTTAACTTCAATGGTCAAAAGTGAAATTCTGTGAAAATTTGGTAGGATATTTCTCACGTAGCAACAGAGTTAATGGAAATATTTTCTCCTTTTACCTGCAATTTTGAATCTAAATTTGGATAAAGAGAAGAAACAAAAATTTGTTTGGCAGTGGTACTCAGCACTTTCATGTGGAACTTTGTGTCTTCATTCCCAACCCAATTATGTATTAGCAAAGAGGCTTAACTGTAGGCACAAGGGTTGTTCTCCAGCTTCCAAGATGAAGTACAGACAGCAATCTAACTGGTACACAACAGAACAGGAAAAGGTGATTTACTACTGAATAAAGCATTTAAAATTAATAATTAAATTATTAATAATTATAGAAGTTCTCTGATCCTAAGATTTTAAAAGCACTTTTAAAACACATATCTTTTTGCAAATTAAACAATAAGAAATCAAAGACAACATTTTTAAATAGGTGTGTCTTAAAGCAGAAGTTAAGATGCTAAAGAAACATTCCCAAATCTAAATATAAATTACTACACTTTTAAATGTTGCCATGTTAGAAATAGCTCAAGTTCATAGGTGACTTTATAATTTAAATGCAATTTAATGTTCATGTGCTGACAAGAACTCAAACTGACAACTAGGCAAATATATTTTAGCATAACATGTATTTAAGTCCCTGTAGTCTGCATTAGAACTAGAGTCTTTGAACCTGTCAAGCCAATCTGCACTTCTTGGATTGCTGGAAGACTGACAAACCCTCAAGAATACACAATTCTTTCCTTTGAGCTGTCCACAGCACTGACAGCTTTTACCATTTAATCCAAGAAAGAAAATGGCTATTCTAGCCCCAGATTGCTATAGATGTCCTCCACAGGCAAAAGCAGCTGGTCAGTTTGTTCATAGCATATCAACCCCTCATTGCCCACTGAAAATCAACAAGGAGTATTTTAACTTGGCTTTGGGTTCCACCTTAGCCAGGAGGAAAAACGTCAGAAGAGCCTTCCGAACTGGTATTTTGTACCTCTCCTTTTATTCTTATTCTTGTATCTTTAATGAAGAACAGGAGTGGCCATGTTTTACTTTCTGCATCCTGCTAAGTCTTTGAGAAAGAACCAAAAGCTTCAGTTATGATGAGAAAAGCTGCTACAGTAAGATTTAAGCTTGATTTTGGTCTTGAATCAGAACTCTATACTGTCCTTTCCTAGATTTTCTCCTATAACCACTCACAGTTCATGTAGGTACAGTGAAATAAAGAAAACATCCACTACTTTGAGGAGGTGACTGCAAAAAATGCAGTATGAAATACAAGAGGAAGGTGTCAGAGTCTGCCCGTTTGTTTACACAGAGAAAGTCCTCATTTCTGAAATGTTATGTTGGCTTACCAAAATGTTACTCACACCCAGACTGTAAAGCAATGTTGAAATGTACTGTTTCATAGAGGAATCTAGTAAGCTTACAGAGGCCGATTTCAAATCGCATGCTGATAGATCCTCTGATAAATCTGAATGGGCACTGGACCACAGAGAGGGATGAGATCATGGCCTAGAATACAGCTAGGTGGAGTTTGGGCTTTGCCCCTCTCATTCAGCAGGCTCCAGTAACTTCATAGGTCTGCATCTTCAGGCCACAGACCAGGAGCTCAGAACACAGCTCCAGCTGTGAGGTAGGAGGAACCTGAACGAGGGTTTTTAATTGTCTGGAAGATTCTGTGCAGAAAGGAGCCTTTAACAGAGACATAAGCAAAGCATGCATGACAGAGTTAAAACAAGGCCAGATGTTTGGCCTGAGTCATAGGCAGGATGGGATGTTCTGCAGTGCTCAAGGCTGGAAGAATAGCAGAAAAGCTTAAGAGACTAAGCTCTCTCTTAAAGCTATCTCAAGGATAGGATTTTGCCAAAATAAGTGTAGCATAAAAAATACCTCATTTGACTCATCAAAAATTCTGTCTCTAAGCCCTGAATTAATAGAGTTGTCCAGACTCATCACGTGTTTGAATACCTCCTTGTGCACTTATTCACATCTAGATGCCCAGTCCTATGCACTAACACAATCATATGAACTCAGAATGGCGAGACTCATTTGGACAGCGTACCAAGTTGCTGATCCTCTCTGGAACCCCAAAGAAGTCTGGACAGATCTGCTGCAGGGAGTAAGTACTTTTGACCCTTAGCTCTTTGTGACTACAAAAACAATAGTCCTCATAACAAGGACTGAGAGAGCCAAGAGACATGAAATTACAATGGTGAAGTATTCACATTTTAAGTGAGAGATGACAAAAATGCTAAAAAGCATCTACATTAGAAGATCTGGCAACACTAATGGAAAAGAGGAAGAGAATGGAACTCCTGTCTAAACATCATCCCTTGCTGTGCTTAGAATTATTGCTTCAAAGAGAAATCATGAGATCTCA